GGGATGATGCGGGGCCGAGGTCTCCGTGCGCCTAGGCGCCGGAGCTGTCAACGGAGCGAGGTGTCGCAGGCCGCGGGGGGAGGGGACGCGGTGCCGAGTGACGTCCGGCGCACCTCGCGCCGCATTCCCCGGGTGAAGGCCCAGATAAAGGGGAGGGGCCGCTCCCAGCTCCTGCGCAAGGATCCACTGCCTACTTCTCAGGCTCCGGGACCGGAGAGGACCGGTGGCCCTGGTCTCCTGGAGCGACCCCCTCACCGCCCTCTCCCGCCACTCTAACCATGTTAGCGGGAGCATGGAATAGGGGCTCTGCCGGAAGAGGTCAGACGTCGCCCCCTACTGGGTCCGCAGGGAGGGCGGGATCGTGGACTTGGAGCACCAGAGAAGTGGGGGCCGAGAGCCGCACAGTGACCAGGGTCACTTGGCGTGTGCCCCCCAGGCCAAGGGACGTCTGGACCCAGAAATCCAGGGTGCATAAGGTACTCTGTGCCTGGTGCAGCACACCGCACATACCTCCCTCCACGTGCGTCCAGATGGCCTGGAAGCCCCACCCCCTCGCACACCTCGCTCACACACGGAAACAGCGGGCTGGGGCACGCCACACTTACCAAAGCCACACCCACACCATGTCCCCAAGTCACCTCCCTTAGTCAGGTTCACACGTCTTCAGTTACCAGACCCTCCCTGGCCCCACCTTCCAACCCTCACACCCGAAGAGGTGGGGGAAGGGATGTAAAGAAGGAAGGACAAAAGCCATCCCTGCGTGCATTCCTACCTGGGCTGCTCAACCAATCCAGCAACCTGAATGAGTCCTCAGACCCTGAGCAGGGATGCAAGGGGGGGGGGGGGGGGGGGATGACCAGACCCCCTGGCCCCACCTTCCAACCCTCACACCCGAAGAGGTGGGGGAAGGGATGTAAAGAAGGAAGGACAAAAGCCATCCCTGCGTGCATTCCTACCTGGGCTGCTCAACCAATCCAGCAACCTGAATGAGTCTCCAGACCCTGAGCAGGG